GCAGTGTCTTCATGTCTTCCCATAGTTCAGTACGCTGGACTAGCCGCACCAATAACTGAGTTCCATGTTCAATGTCAGAAACAGTGAGTCCGGGATGCCGAATCCGGTTGACAAACTTGTGAATATATCCAAAAACGCGTTGCATGGACGCAAAAGAGTTCGCATACTTGGACTCAGATACGATGTCTACGTAAGGCGATTTTACCAGGAGAACCTTCCGACGAAGCTCCAGGGTTGGCTTAACAGGTAGTACAGTGGGTGGCCAGTCATCAGAGGATCCCCAAAGAAAGGGAGGTCCATGAGCCCAAAGAGGTGACTCGCTCAACTCTACTGGAAGAGCCCCTCGCGAGAGAATGTCAGCCGGGTTCAATGCTGTGGGAACATAGTGTCATTCCATTTGAGCAGTAAGTTCCTGTATCGTTGCCACAAATACTGTCTATTTGCGACAAATACGTTGAATCTGGACGGTTCGTCCCGAATCTAAGAGAGCGCAACAGACGAATCACACCAACAGTAAAACTTCCATTTGAATACCTTCATTCCGGCTATCTCAGATATGAGTCTAGCTAGCAACTCCGCTCCACAAAGCTCCAGCTTTGGTACAGTCAGTGTTTTTAATGGAGCAACACGAGATTTTGCACAGAGTAAGTGGCTGCTGAACCGCTGACCCTTAGACACAACATAAATGCAGGCTTATGGTCCTCAATGCTGGCGTCGCAAAATCCGTGAATTTCTAGCTCAAAATTCGGAATAAGCACGAACCGAGGAAATTCATAGCGTCGAATGTGGCCAAAACTGTTACATAATTCCTGCCAGGAGGTGTTCAGTCCTGATGTTCATCCCAGAACAACTTCTCCTTGCACAACTGCTGGAGAAAGATTTTTGCCTTTGTAATGACAGGTCCAGCTAGTCCAAGGGGGTCGTAGAACCGGGCTATTGTAGACAAGACGGAACGCATGCTGGGATGAGAAGACGAATGTAGGGCAGAAAAGGAGAATAAAAGTTGATCAGACACAGGATCCCAGGCGATCGAATTTTAGCTGAGTTACGTCAGGCTCAGCGAACGAAGCAGGAGGTCCGCCATTCAAGAAATGAGCTGGAGTTAAAACGTCAAGATCGGCAGGATTCTCTGAAATCGATACTAAGGGTCTTGAATTAATAACTGCCGTGATGTGGCATAACAGCGTACGTGTTCTTCAAATCCAAGCACCGAGGTACCTATAGCACGATAGAAGTGATACTTGGCCGTCTTCACTGCAGCTTCCCACAGGCCTCCAAAGTGCGGGGAGCGTGGCGGTATGAAGTGCCAGTCAATAGCCTCAACCAAACAAAATTCCAGGACCGCCTTCTGATGGTCGTCGCTGAGAAATAGGCGCTTTAGATCCAAAAGGATATTCCTGGCGCCGACAAAATTGGTTGCGTTATCTGACCAAATTTGTCGCGGCCTTCGTCTTGTGCATATGAACCGCTTTAGGCCGTGCAGAAAGGAGACTGTAGACAAATCCTTGATCAGCTCCAAATGAACAGCCTTAGTCGCAAAGCAAATGAAGACGCAGACGTAGCATTTGATTGGAGCCTTGTTGCGTGCCTCTGGCTTGTAGAAAAAAGGGCCACAAAAGTCGACGCCTGTGATCTCAAAAAAATGAGAACCGTCTAGCCGCTCCTTCGGAAGATCCGCCATGATGTGCTCCAATACTCTAGGATTCGTTCGAAAGCATCTTACGCACTTGTTTACGGCCTTGGTTACCGTTTTCCTCCCCCCAATAGGCCAATATTGGGATCGGATTAATCCAAGCAGAGCTCGAGGTCCAGCGTGCAGATTCCGTTCGTGAAAGTGAGAAATTATTGCAAACGTAAGCGGATGACTGCTGGGCAGGATGATGGGATGACGGCCATCAAAATCCGACGACGAGTTCTTCAGCCGGCCATTAACTCTGAGAAGTTCGAAATGATCCATGAAAGGATTCAACGATACGAGGGAACTAGATGAGGAGACCACCCCCTTAGCACGCAGTGTCTTCATGTCTTCCCATAGTTCAGTACGCTGGACTAGCCGCACCAATAACTGAGTTCCATGTTCAATGTCAGAAACAGTGAGTCCGGGATGCCGAATCCGGTTGACAAACTTGTGAATATATCCAAAAACGCGTTGCATGGACGCAAAAGAGTTCGCATACTTGGACTCAGATACGATGTCTACGTAAGGCGATTTTACCAGGAGAACCTTCCGACGAAGCTCCAGGGTTGGCTTAACAGGTAGTACAGTGGGTGGCCAGTCATCAGAGGATCCCCAAAGAAAGGGAGGTCCATGAGCCCAAAGAGGTGACTCGCTCAACTCTACTGGAAGAGCCCCTCGCGAGAGAATGTCAGCCGGGTTCAATGCTGTGGGAACATAGTGCCATTCCATTTGAGCAGTAAGTTCCTGTATCGTTGCCACAAATACTGTCTATTTGCGACAAATACGTTGAATCTGGACGGTTCGTCCCGAATCTAAGAGAGCGCAACAGACGAATCACACCAACAGTAAAACTTCCATTTGAATACCTTCATTCCGGCTATCTCAGATATGAGTCTAGCTAGCAACTCCGCTCCACAAAGCTCCAGCTTTGGTACAGTCAGTGTTTTTAATGGAGCAACACGAGATTTTGCACAGAGTAAGTGGCTGCTGAACCGCTGACCCTTAGACACAACATAAATGCAGGCTTATGGTCCTCAATGCTGGCGTCGCAAAATCCGTGAATTTCTAGCTCAAAATTCGGAATAAGCACGAACCGAGGAAATTCATAGCGTCGAATGTGGCCAAAACTGTTACATAATTCCTGCCAGGAGGTGTTCAGTCCTGATGTTCATCCCAGAACAACTTCTCCTTGCACAACTGCTGGAGAAAGATTTTTGCCTTTGTAATGACAGGTCCAGCTAGTCCAAGGGGGTCGTAGAACCGGGCTATTGTAGACAAGACGGAACGCATGCTGGGATGCGAAGACGAATGTAGGGCAGAAAAGGAGAATAAAAGTTGATCAGACACAGGATCCCAGGCGATCGAATTTTAGCTGAGTTACGTCAGGCTCAGCGAACGAAGCAGGAGGTCCGCCATTCAAGAAATGAGCTGGAGTTAAAACGTCAAGATCGGCAGGATTCTCTGAAATCGATACTAAGGGTCTTGAATTAATAACTGCCGTGATGTGGCATAACAGCGTACGTGTTCTTCAAATCCAAGCACCGAGGTACCTATAGCACGATAGAAGTGATACTTGGCCGTCTTCACTGCAGCTTCCCACAGGCCTCCAAAGTGCGGGGAGCGTGGCGGTATGAAGTGCCAGTCAATAGCCTCAACCAAACAAAATTCCAGGACCGCCTTCTGATGGTCGTCGCTGAGAAATAGGCGCTTTAGATCCAAAAGGATATTCCTGGCGCCGACAAAATTGGTTGCGTTATCTGACCAAATTTGTCGCGGCCTTCGTCTTGTGCATATGAACCGCTTTAGGCCGTGCAGAAAGGAGACTGTAGACAAATCCTTGATCAGCTCCAAATGAACAGCCTTAGTCGCAAAGCAAATGAAGACGCAGACGTAGCATTTGATTGGAGCCTTGTTGCGTGCCTCTGGCTTGTAGAAAAAAGGGCCACAAAAGTCGACGCCTGTGATCTCAAAAAAATGAGAACCGTCTAGCCGCTCCTTCGGAAGATCCGCCATGATGTGCTCCAATACTCTAGGCTTCGTTCGAAAGCATCTTACGCACTTGTTTACGGCCTTGGTTACCGTTTTCCTCCCCCCAATAGGCTAATATTGGGATCGGATTAATCCAAGCAGAGCTCGAGGTCCAGCGTGCAGATTCCGTTCGTGAAAGTGAGAAATTATTGCAAACGTAAGCGGATGACTGCTGGGCAGGATGATGGGATGACGGCCATCAAAATCCGACGACGAGTTCTTCAGCCGGCCATTAACTCTGAGAAGTTCGAAATGATCCATGAAAGGATTCAACGATACGAGGGAACTAGATGTGGAGACCACCCCCTTAGCACGCAGTGTCTTCATGTCTTCCCATAGTTCAGTACGCTGGACTAGCCGCACCAATAACTGAGTTCCATGTTCAATGTCAGAAACAATGAGTCCGGGATGCCGAATCCGGTTGACAAACTTGTGAATATATCCAAAAACGCGTTGCATGGACGCAAAAGAGTTCGCATACTTGGACTCAGATACGATGTCTACGTAAGGCGATTTTACCAGGAGAACCTTCCGACGAAGCTCCAGGGTTGGCTTAACAGGTAGTACAGTGGGTGGCCAGTCATCAGAGGATCCCCAAAGAAAGGGAGGTCCATGAGCCCAAAGAGGTGACTCGCTCAACTCTACTGGAAGAGCCCCTCGCGAGAGAATGTCAGCCGGGTTCAATGCTGTGGGAACATAGTGCCATTCCATTTGAGCAGTAAGTTCCTGTATCGTTGCCACAAATACTGTCTATTTGCGACAAATACGTTGAATCTGGACGGTTCGTCCCGAATCTAAGAGAGCGCAACAGACGAATTACACCAACAGTAAAACTTCCATTTGAATACCTTCATTCCGGCTATCTCAGATATGAGTCTAGCTAGCAACTCCGCTCCACAAAGCTCCAGCTTTGGTACAGTCAGTGTTTTTAATGGAGCAACACGAGATTTTGCACAGAGTAAGTGGCTGCTGAACCGCTGACCCTTAGACACAACATAAATGCAGGCTTATGGTCCTCAATGCTGGCGTCGCAAAATCCGTGAATTTCTAGCTCAAAATTCGGAATAAGCACGAACCGAGGAAATTCATAGCGTCGAATGTGGCTAAAACTGTTACATAATTCCTGCCAGGAGGTGTTCAGTCCTGATGGCAAGCTTTCATCCCAGAACAACTTCTCCTTGCACAACTGCTGGAGAAAGATTTTTGCCTTTGTAATGACAGGTCCAGCTAGTCCAAGGGGGTCGTAGAACCGGGCTATTGTAGACAAGACGGAACGCCTGCTGGGATGCGAAGACTAATGTAGGGCAGAAGAGGAGAATAAAAGTTGATCAGGCACAGGATCCCAGGCAAGTCCCAGTGTTTTGGTAAAATCACTGCCATCGTCGAACTTCAAATAAGTTTCCTTGTCCTCCTCCGGAACCCCATCGAGGACAGCAGGGACGTTCGAACACCATTTCCTCAGTCGGAACTGGCCTCTACTCAAAATTCCTGCAGTTTGCTCACGAATGCGGATAGCCTCCTCCGGAGAGCTGGCTCCAGATATTAGGTCATCAACGTAGAAGTCACGCCGAAGAATCTCAATCCCAATAGGAAACGCTGTCTGTTCATCCATTGCCAGCTGATGCATCGCCCGCACAGATAAATAAGAGGCAGGCTTCGTACCATAAGTAACGGTGTCCAGCTTGAACACACGCAACTCCTCTTGCATGGAATTCCTCCATAGAATACACTGCAAGTTACTGTCCTCAGATGAGACCCTGACACATCGGTACATCTTGCAAATATCACCCGTAATCGCAACTGCATGTGACCGAAATCGAGTAAAAATATGGAAAAGCTTCGGTTGGATTACAGGACCGGCCATTAAAACGTCGTTCAGGAAATAACCAGATGATGTTGATGCAGATCCATCGAAAACGACCCGAAGCTTGGTTGTAGAACTATCTTCCTTTGTGACGCAATGGTGAGGCAAAAAATATCGGCAGGAGCTGATTGACTCGGCAGGAACCAAGGACATATGACCTAGATCAAGGTACTCTTTTATGAAAGCAGCATACAGAGATTTTACATCAGGACGGCGATCTAACTTCCGTTCAAGGGATAAGAACCTTCGAAGAGTTTGATGGTACGATTCTCCCAAGAGATCCAGATTGTATTTTGCGGGCAGCCTAACACAATAATCGCCGGTTTGCAATCGGCGGAAATGCTGCACAAAGTGAGCTTCACAGTCTAGCTCTTCTTTGGTAGAATTTACTATGGGTTCGATGCAATTCTCTACCTCCCAAAACCGTCGCAACAGGAACTCAAGTCTCTCGTCTAGGTTATCCTCCGCAGCTACGGCCGGGGCGCGCGAAACCATTAAAGAGGACCCCTTCTTTACCCGGGAACAACCTCCAGATATGACCCATCCCAAGCGAGTCTTCTGAATTGAGGGCAATCCTGGCAATAGCTTGACCTGGCCAACACAGAGGAGTTCGTTAAACAAGCTGGCGCCAATTAGAAGATCAACACGCTGCGGTCTATAGAACTCTGGATCAGCTAGTGGCAGATTTGCTGGAATATTCCAGTTGCAAGTGTCTATTCCGAAGCTCGGCTGCCGGTCGGTTATGCTAGAGGCTACGACAGCGGTGATGAGAGTTGAGTATTCCGATGAGCGAGAGTGCAGACTGACGTTGACCGAAACTCCATCCGTGACAAAGGTAGAATCGCCTATTCCTGATACTGACGTTGATGATTTCATTTTTCGAAGCTGAAGCTGATTTGCGAAGCGAGAAGTAATTAAGTGTAGTTGAGAGCCAGAATCAAGCAACGCTCGACAGGGAACAAAAACTCCGGAACGATTTTTTACAAAGACTGTTGCCGTGGCTTGCAGAACGACATCATCACTGAGACCCTGGGCAATAAGAGCAGAAGAGGTAGATGCTGGGATAGATGGTTCAGTGGTATGAGTAGCCGCCGTGGACGCTGAAGCAGAGGACTCAGCGATGGGATGAGATGACGCAGACGGAGACGAAGTGCCAAATGGAACAGATCCACCTTGGGCTGCAGTAGCATCAGGGCCACCGAAATGCAAGAGAGTGTGGTGCCTACGTCCACAGGTACGGCATTTGCTGGAGCTACATTGACTCAATCGATGCCCTGTTTTGAGGCAATTTACACACAGGGATAGCCTTTTGGCTTCCTTATGGCGATTTGCGGGAGACAGTGCTATAAAATTGGGACAATGATTGATTTCGTGAGCGCTGTCATTGCACAGCACGCAGCTTGATGTGTTTTGGTTAATGGCAACAAGTGTGGATTTAGAATGGTTAGGTTTTCTACTCCTGCCCACCTGACTGCTTGGCGCATATGTTGCCATAGCGAAATCCACTGTTTCCAACGTCCTGCATCGCTGCTCCAAAAACGAGGCCATGGACTCCCATGATGGAATCAAGTTGACGAAGGCTGAGTCCTCTAAACGTTCCTCCCACTTGGCTTGAGTCGCCGGGTCCAGTTTACGAAGAAGCACCTGCACTATGATGCATCCTGCGATCTGCTCAGGCGTGCCCAAAGCCTGCAGCGCCCGAATGAGCGTTGACACTGACCCATTCTCAACTGCCTGCAGCCCCAGAATCTCAGTAATGTGCGCCTGAAAAACTAAACAACGATTATTAAAAAGCTTTTCCAATAAATCCAATGCTATATTATAGTTGCTGTCCGAGATTTCCAGCGAACGAACTGTCTCCAACTCCGAGTCACGCAGGCAAGATCGCAGATGCTGAAACTTCTGAATGTTGGATAGGTCTGGATGATTGTCGATGATGGTCGTGAACATCGAGTAAAAGTCCGTCCAATCCGCATATCCTCCGCTAAACCTTGGCAATTGTATGGGAGGAAGGGATGATCCTGGCCTACGACGAGGTGGCGGCTGAGCACCGGCAAAACCTGCAGTTGCATTTGCTGCAGCAAACGTAGAATGCAGCGGCATGTATCCGCTAATCCTAGCAGTTTCACGCATGATCGAAGCCTTGAGAGCACTGGCAATTGTTTCAAAGCTGTCGCACAGTCCACTATGAATTTAGTTGCAGTCCAATTCTTCAAGCTCGTTGTGCAATGTTTCAAATTGCCCATTCAGCTCCTCGAGCGGTAGCCAATCTTTTCACTTTCTCACATAGTTCCGTTGACTGAATCCTCAGAAAAGACACCCTGTTTTGCTTCCTGGGCACTGGAGCGTCGTTGGCAGCATCCATAGCAGCAGAGGTTCTTAAAACGTTCGTAGCGGGAAGAGGAACATAAAGCACAACGCGCGTAACAAACGGGAACTTCAAGCGCAATTTGTGTATGCACAGGCGGCAAGTGTATATGCTTGTACGGCAGCTATGTGGTCGATGGCACTGGATCAGAGCGGCGAGCAAAGCAGACGAACGAACGGCAAGTAAGTGCTAATTATTATGTTGAAATGTAGTTTGTGATATGTACCAAATTGCACAAATCACGTCGGGGTCACCAATGTTTGAGCTATTAAGCGCTTTTAATAGCTATTTTAATTTAATTTAAGAACAGAGCCGATAAATTTATTACAATTTTATTTTATTAGTATTTAGTAGCGGCAGTACGCGTATTTAATATGTTTGCTTAAGGTATATAGACCGAACGTTCTGAATATCAATAATTGACTGATCGCAGGGCAAAATGGGCCGACTGCCCGTGCCCTATGCATAACGAGAGCGTGAGAGCATTATGGTATAGTTAGGCTCGGCTTCTGAGCCGAGTAGAGCAAGAGAGCTGCTTAACCGCAGCAGGTGCAGCAGCAACACGAAGGCAGCGGGAGACAGCCGCCAGAACAGACGCTGCCGGACTGCCAAACTAGGCTTCGTCGTGCGCCACTTTGAGCGCTGTTGCAGTGAAGTGATGTATTCTTCCTTCCATCGGGACCAGAAGATCTTCTGCAAATATGAAACGCGCTGCCATCCGTTCAGGCGATCGAATTTTAGCTGAGTTACGTCAGGCTCAGCGAACGAAGCAGGAGGTCCGCCATTCAAGAAATGAGCTGGAGTTAAAACGTCAAGATCGGCAGGATTCTCTGAAATCGATACTAAGGGTCTTGAATTAATAACTGCCGTGATGTGGCATAACAGCGTACGCAGTTCTTCAAATCCAAGCACCGAGGTGCCTATAGCACGATAGAAGTGATACTTGGCCGTCTTCACTGCAGCTTCCCACAGGCCTCCAAAGTGCGGGGAGCGTGGCGGTATGAAGTGCCAGTCAATAGCCTCAACCAAACAAAATTCCAGGACCGCCTTCTGATGGTCGTCGCTGAGAAATAGGCGCTTTAGATCCAAAAGGATATTCCTGGCGCCGTTAAAATTGGTTGCGTTATCTGACCAAATTTGTCGCGGCCTTCGTCTTGTGCATATGAACCGCTTTAGGCCGTGCAGAAAGGAGACTGTAGACAAATCCTTGATCAGCTCCAAATGAACAGCCTTAGTCGCAAAGCAAATGAAGACGCAGACGTAGCATTTGATTGGAGCCTTGTTGCGTGCCTCTGGCTTGTAGAAAAAAGGGCCACAAAAGTCGACGCCTGTGATCTCAAAAAAATGAGAACCGTCTAGCCGCTCCTTCGGAAGATCCGCCATGATGTGCTCCAATACTCTAGGCTTCGTTCGAAAGCATCTTACGCACTTGTTTACGGCCTTGGTTACCGTTTTCCTCCCCCCAATAGGCCAATATTGGGATCGGATTAATCCAAGCAGAGCTCGAGGTCCAGCGTGCAGATTCCGTTCGTGAAAGTGAGAAATTATTGCAAACGTAAGCGGATGACTGCTGGGCAGGATGATGGGATGACGGCCATCAAAATCCAACGACGAGTTCTTCAGCCGGCCATCAACTCTGAGGGCTTTCGAAATGATCCATGAAAGGATTCAACGATACGAGGGAACTAGATGAGGAGACCACCCCCTTAGCACGCAGTGTCTTCATGTCTTCCCATAGTTCAGTACGCTGGACTAGCCGCACCAATAACTGAGTTCCATGTTCAATGTCAGAAACAGTAAGTCCGGGATGCCGAATCCGGTTGACAAACTTGTGAATATATCCAAAAACGCGTTGCATGGACGCAAAAGAGTTCGCATACTTGGACTCAGATACGATGTCTACGTAAGGCGATTTTACCAGGAGAACCTTCCGACGAAGCTCCAGGGTTGGCTTAACAGGTAGTACAGTGGATGGCCAGTCATCAGAGGATCCGCAAAGAAAGGGAGGTCCATGAGCCCAAAGAGGTGACTCGCTCAACTCTACTGGAAGAGCCCCTCGCGAGAGAATGTCAGCCGGGTTCAATGCTGTGGGAACATAGTGCCATTCCATTTGAGCAGTAAGTTCCTGTATCGTTGCCACAAATACTGTCTATTTGCGACAAATACGTTGAATCTGGACGGTTCGTCCCGAATCTAAAAGAGCGCAACAGACGAATCACACCAACAGTAAAACTTCCATTTGAATACCTTCATTCCGGCTATCTCAGATATGAGTCTAGCTAGCAACTCCGCTCCACAAAGCTCCAGCTTTGGTACAGTCAGTGTTTTTAATGGAGCAACACGAGATTTTGCACAGAGTAAGTGGCTGCTGAACCGCTGACCCTTAGACACAACATAAATGCAGGCTTATGGTCCTCAATGCTGGCGTCGCAAAATCCGTGAATTTCTAGCTCAAAATTCGGAATAAGCACGAACCGAGGAAATTCATAGCGTCGAATGTGGCCAAAACTGTTACATAATTCCTGCCAGGAGGTGTTCAGTCCTGATGGCAAGCTTTCATCCCAGAACAACTTCTCCTTGCACAACTGCTGGAGAAAGATTTTTGCCTTTGTAATGACAGGTCCAGCTAGTCCAAGGGGGTCGTAGAACCGGGCTATTGTAGACAAGACGGAAAGCATTCTGGGATGCGAAGACGAATGTAGGGCAGAAAAGGAGAATAAAAGTTGATCAGACACAGGATCCCAGGCGATCGAATTTTAGCTGAGTTACGTCAGGCTCAGCGAACGAAGCAGGAGGTCCGCCATTCAAGAAATGAGCTGGAGTTAAAACGTCAAGATCGGCAGGATTCTCTGAAATCGATACTAAGGGTCTTGAATTAATAACTGCCGTGATGTGGCATAACAGCGTACGTGTTCTTCAAATCCAAGCACCGAGGTACCTATAGCACGATAGAAGTGATACTTGGCCGTCTTCACTGCAGCTTCCCACAGGCCTCCAAAGTGCGGGGAGCGTGGCGGTATGAAGTGCCAGTCAATAGCCTCAACCAAACAAAATTCCAGGACCGCCTTCTGATGGTCGTCGCTGAGAAATAGGCGCTTTAGATCCAAAAGGATATTCCTGGCGCCGACAAAATTGGTTGCGTTATCTGACCAAATTTGTCGCGGCCTTCGTCTTGTGCATATGAACCGCTTTAGGCCGTGCAGAAAGGAGACTGTAGACAAATCCTTGATCAGCTCCAAATGAACAGCCTTAGTCGCAAAGCAAATGAAGACGCAGACGTAGCATTTGATTGGAGCCTTGTTGCGTGCCTCTGGCTTGTAGAAAAAAGGGCCACAAAAGTCGACGCCTGTGATCTCAAAAAAATGAGAACCGTCTAGCCGCTCTTTCGGAAGATCCGCCATGATGTGCTCCAATACTCTAGGCTTCGTTCGAAAGCATCTTACGCACTTGTTTACGGCCTTGGTTACCGTTTTCCTCCCCCCAATAGGCCAATATTGGGATCGGATTAATCCAAGCAGAGCTCGAGGTCCAGCGTGCAGATTCCGTTCGTGAAAGTGAGAAATTATTGCAAACGTAAGCGGATGACTGCTGGGCAGGATGATGGGATGACGACCATCAAAAGCCAACGACGAGTTCTTCAGCCGGCCATTAACTCTGAGAAGTTCGAAATGATCCATGAAAGGATTCAACGATACGAGGGAACTAGATGAGGAGACCACCCCCTTAGCACGCAGTGTCTTCATGTCTTCCCATAGTTCAGTACGCTGGACTAGCCGCATCAATAACTGAGTTCCATGTTCAATGTCAGAAACAGTGAGTCCGGGATGCCGAATCCGGTTGACAAACTTGTGAATATATCCAAAAACGCGTTGCATGGACGCAAAAGAGTTCGCATACTTGGACTCAGATACGATGTCTACGTAAGGCGATTTTACCAGGAGAACCTTCCGACGAAGCTCCAGGGTTGGCTTAACAGGTAGTACAGTGGATGGCCAGTCATCAGAGGATCCGCAAAGAAAGGGAGGTCCATGAGCCCAAAGAGGTGACTCGCTCAACTCTACTGGAAGAGCCCCTCGCGAGAGAATGTCAGCCGGGTTCAATGCTGTGGGAACATAGTGCCATTCCATTTGAGCAGTAAGTTCCTGTATCGTTGCCACAAATACTGTCTATTTGCGACAAATACGTTGAATCTGGACGGTTCGTCCCGAATCTAAGAGAGCGCAACAGACGAATCACACCAACAGTAAAACTTCCATTTGAATACCTTCATTCCGGCTATCTCAGATATGAGTCTAGCTAGCAACTCCGCTCCACAAAGCTCCAGCTTTGGTACAGTCAGTGTTTTTAATGGAGCAACACGAGATTTTGCACAGAGTAAGTGGCTGCTGAACCGCTGACCCTTAGACACAACATAAATGCAGGCTTATGGTCCTCAATGCTGGCGTCGCAAAATCCGTGAATTTCTAGCTCAAAATTCGGAATAAGCACGAACCGAGGAAATTCATAGCGTCGAATGTGGCCAAAACTGTTACATAATTCCTGCCAGGAGGTGTTCAGTCCTGATGGCAAGCTTTCATCCCAGAACAACTTCTCCTTGCACAACTGCTGGAGAAAGATTTTTGCCTTTGTAATGACAGGTCCAGCTAGTCCAAGGGGGTCGTAGAACCGGGCTATTGTAGACAAGACGGAAAGCATTCTGGGATGCGAAGACGAATGTAGGGCAGAAAAGGAGAATAAAAGTTGATCAGACACAGGATCCCAGGCGATCGAATTCTAGCTGAGTTACGTCAGGCTCAGCGAACGAAGCAGGAGGTCCGCCATTCAAGAAATGAGCTGGAGTTAAAACGTCAAGATCGGCAGGATTCTCTGAAATCGATACTAAGGGTCTTGAATTAATAACTGCCGTGATGTGGCATAACAGCGTACGTGTTCTTCAAATCCAAGCACCGAGGTACCTATAGCACGATAGAAGTGATACTTGGCCGTCTTCACTGCAGCTTCCCACAGGCTTCCAAAGTGCGGGGAGCGGGGCGGTATGAAGTGCCAGTCAATAGCCTCAACCAAACAAAATTCCAGGACCGCCTTCTGATGGTCGTCGCTGAGAAATAGGCGCTTTAGATCCAAAAGGATATTCCTGGCGCCGACAAAATTGGTTGCGTTATCTGACCAAATTTGTCGCGGCCTTCGTCTTGTGCATATGAACCGCTTTAGGCCGTGCAGAAAGGAGACTGTAGACAAATCCTTGATCAGCTCCAAATGAACAGCCTTAGTCGCAAAGCAAATGAAGACGCAGACGTAGCATTTGATTGGAGCCTTGTTGCGTGCCTCTGGCTTGTAGAAAAAAGGGCCACAAAAGTCGACGCCTGTGATCTCAAAAAAATGAGAACCGTCTAGCCGCTCCTTCGGAAGATCCGCCATGATGTGCTCCAATACTCTAGGCTTCGTTCGAAAGCATCTTACGCACTTGTTTACGGCCTTGGTTACCGTTTTCCTCCCCCCAATAGGCCAATATTGGGATCGGATTAATCCAAGCAGAGCTCGAGGTCCAGCGTGCAGATTCCGTTCGTGAAAGTGAGAAATTATTGCAAACGTAAGCGGATGACTGCTGGGCAGGATGATGGGATGACGGCCATCAAAATCCAACGACGAGTTCTTCAGCCGGCCATCAACTCTGAGGGCTTTCGAAATGATCCATGAAAGGATTCAACGATACGAGGGAACTAGATGAGGAGACCACCCCCTTAGCACGCAGTGTCTTCATGTCTTCCCATAGTTCAGTACGCTGGACTAGCCGCACCAATAACTGAGTTCCATGTTCAATGTCAGAAACAGTAAGTCCGGGATGCCGAATCCGGTTGACAAACTTGTGAATATATCCAAAAACGCGTTGCATGGACGCAAAAGAGTTCGCATACTTGGACTCAGATACGATGTCTACGTAAGGCGATTTTACCAGGAGAACCTTCCGACGAAGCTCCAGGGTTGGCTTAACAGGTAGTACAGTGGATGGCCAGTCATCAGAGGATCCGCAAAGAAAGGGAGGTCCATGAGCCCAAAGAGGTGACTCGCTCAACTCTACTGGAAGAGCCCCTCGCGAGAGAATGTCAGCCGGGTTCAATGCTGTGGGAACATAGTGCCATTCCATTTGAGCAGTAAGTTCCTGTATCGTTGCCACAAATACTGTCTATTTGCGACAAATACGTTGAATCTGGACGGTTCGTCCCGAATCTAAGAGAGCGCAACAGACGAATCACACCAACAGTAAAACTTCCATTTGAATACCTTCATTCCGGCTATCTCAGATATGAGTCTAGCTAGCAACTCCGCTCCACAAAGCTCCAGCTTTGGTACAGTCAGTGTTTTTAATGGAGCAACACGAGATTTTGCACAGAGTAAGTGGCTGCTGAACCGCTGACCCTTAGACACAACATAAATGCAGGCTTATGGTCCTCAATGCTGGCGTCGCAAAATCCGTGAATTTCTAGCTCAAAATTCGGAATAAGCACGAACCGAGGAAATTCATAGCGTCGAATGTGGCCAAAACTGTTACATAATTCCTGCCAGGAGGTGTTCAGTCCTGATGGCAAGCTTTCATCCCAGAACAACTTCTCCTTGCACAACTGCTGGAGAAAGATTTTTGCCTTTGTAATGACAGGTCCAGCTAGTCCAAGGGGGTCGTAGAACCGGGCTATTGTAGACAAGACGGAAAGCATTCTGGGATGCGAAGACGAATGTAGGGCAGAAAAGGAGAATAAAAGTTGATCAGACACAGGATCCCAGGCGATCGAATTCTAGCTGAGTTACGTCAGGCTCAGCGAACGAAGCAGGAGGTCCGCCATTCAAGAAATGAGCTGGAGTTAAAACGTCAAGATCGGCAGGATTCTCTGAAATCGATACTAAGGGTCTTGAATTAATAACTGCCGTGATGTGGCATAACAGCGTACGTGTTCTTCAAATCCAAGCACCGAGGTACCTATAGCACGATAGAAGTGATACTTGGCCGTCTTCACTGCAGCTTCCCACAGGCCTCCAAAGTGCGGGGAGCGGGGCGGTATGAAGTGCCAGTCAATAGCCTCAACCAAACAAAATTCCAGGACCGCCTTCTGATGGTCGTCGCTGAGAAATAGGCGCTTTAGATCCAAAAGGATATTCCTGGCGCCGACAAAATTGGTTGCGTTATCTGACCAAATTTGTCGCGGCCTTCGTCTTGTGCATATGAACCGCTTTAGGCCGTGCAGAAAGGAGACTGTAGACAAATCCTTGATCAGCTCCAAATGAACAGCCTTAGTCGCAAAGCAAATGAAGACGCAGACGTAGCATTTGATTGGAGTCTTGTTGCGTGCCTCTGGCTTGTAGAAAAAAGGGCCACAAAAGTCGACGCCTGTGATCTCAAAAAAATGAGAACCGTCTAGCCGCTCCTTCGGAAGATCCGCCATGATGTGCTCCAATACTCTAGGCTTCGTTCGAAAGCATCTTACGCACTTGTTTACGGCCTTGGTTACCGTTTTCCTCCCCCCAATAGGCCAATATTGGGATCGGATTAATCCAAGCAGAGCTCGAGGTCCAGCGTGCAGATTCCGTTCGTGAAAGTGAGAAATTATTGCAAACGTAAGCGGATGACTGCTGGGCAGGATGATGGGATGACGACCATCAAAAGCCAACGACGAGTTCTTCAGCCGGCCATTAACTCTGAGAAGTTCGAAATGATCCATGAAAGGATTCAACGATACGAGGGAACTAGATGAGGAGACCACCCCCTTAGCACGCAGTGTCTTCATGTCTTCCCATAGTTCAGTACGCTGGACTAGCCGCATCAATAACTGAGTTCCATGTTCAATGTCAGAAACAGTGAGTCCGGGATGCCGAATCCGGTTGACAAACTTGTGAATATATCCAAAAACGCGTTGCATGGACGCAAAAGAGTTCGCATACTTGGACTCAGATACGATGTCTACGTAAGGCGATTTTACCAGGAGAACCTTCCGACGAAGCTCCAGGGTTGGCTTAACAGGTAGTACAGTGGATGGCCAGTCATCAGAGGATCCCCAAAGAAAGGGAGGTCCATGAGCCCAAAGAGGTGACTCGCTCAACTCTACTGGAAGAGCCCCTCGCGAGAGAATGTCAGCCGGGTTCAATGCTGTGGGAACATAGTGCCATTCCATTTGAGCAGTAAGTTCCTGTATCGTTGCCACAAATACTGTCTATTTGCGACAAATACGTTGAATCTGGACGGTTCGTCCCGAATCTAAGAGAGCGCAACAGACGAATCACACCAACAGTAAAACTTCCATTTGAATACCTTCATTCCGGCTATCTCAGATATGAGTCTAGCTAGCAACTCCGCTCCACAAAGCTCCAGCTTTGGTACAGTCAGTGTTTTTAATGGAGCAACACGAGATTTTGCACAGAGTAAGTGGCTGCTGAACCGCTGACCCTTAGACACAACATAAATGCAGGCTTATGGTCCTCAATGCTGGCGTCGCAAAATCCGTGAATTTCTAGCTCAAAATTCGGAATAAGCACGAACCGAGGAAATTCATAGCGTCGAATGTGGCCAAAACTGTTACATAATTCCTGCCAGGAGGTGTTCAGTCCTGATGGCAAGCTTTCATCCCAGAACAACTTCTCCTTGCACAACTGCTGGAGAAAGATTTTTGCCTTTGTAATGACAGGTCCAGCTAGTCCAAGGGGGTCGTAGAACCGGGCTATTGTAGACAAGACGGAAAGCATTCTGGGATGCGAAGACGAATGTAGGGCAGAAAAGGAGAATAAAAGTTGATCAGACACAGGATCCCAGGCGATCGAATTCTAGCTGAGTTACGTCAGGCTCAGCGAACGAAGCAGGAGGTCCGCCATTCAAGAAATGAGCTGGAGTTAAAACGTCAAGATCGGCAGGATTCTCTGAAATCGATACTAAGGGTCTTGAATTAATAACTGCCGTGATGTGGCATAACAGCGTACGTGTTCTTCAAATCCAAGCACCGAGGTACCTATAGCACGATAGAAGTGATACTTGGCCGTCTTCACTGCAGCTTCCCACAGGCTTCCAAAGTGCGGGGAGCGGGGCGGTATGAAGTGCCAGTCAATAGCCTCAACCAAACAAAATTCCAGGACCGCCTTCTGATGGTCGTCGCTGAGAAATAGGCGCTTTAGATCCAAAAGGATATTCCTGGCGCCGACAAAATTGGTTGCGTTATCTGACCAAATTTGTCGCGGCCTTCGTCTTGTGCATATGAACCGCTTTAGGCCGTGCAGAAAGGAGACTGTAGACAAATCCTTGATCAGCTCCAAATGAACAGCCTTAGTCGCAAAGCAAATGAAGACGCAGACGTAGCATTTGATTGGAGCCTTGTTGCGTGCCTCTGGCTTGTAGAAAAAAGGGCCACAAAAGTCGACGCCTGTGATCTCAAAAAAATGAGAACCGTCTAGCCGCTCCTTCGGAAGATCCGCCATGATGTGCTCCAATACTCTAGGCTTCGTTCGAAAGCATCTTACGCACTTGTTTACGGCCTTGGTTACCGTTTTCCTCCCCCCAATAGGCCAATATTGGGATCGGATTAATCCAAGCAGAGCTCGAGGTCCAGCGTGCAGATTCCGTTCGTGAAAGTGAGAAATTATTGCAAACGTAAGCGGATGACTGCTGGGCAGGATGATGGGATGACGGCCATCAAAATCCGACGACGAGTTCTTCAGCCGGCCATTAACTCTGAGAAGTTCGAAATGATCCATGAAAGGATTCAACGATACGAGGGAACTAGATGAGGAGACCACCCCCTTAGCACGCAGTGTCTTCATGTCTTCCCATAGTTCAGTACGCTGGACTAGCCGCACCAATTACTGAGTTCCATGTTCAATGTCAGAAACAATGAGTCCGGGATGCCGAATCCGGTTGACAAACTTGTGAATATATCCAAAAACGCGTTGCATGGACGCAAAAGAGTTCGCATACTTGGACTCAGATACGATGTCTACGTAAGGCGATTTTACCAGGAGAACCTTCCGACGAAGCTCCAGGGTTGGCTTAACAGGTAGTACAGTGGGTGGCCAGTCATCAGAGGATCCCCAAAGAAAGGGAGGTCCATGAGCCCAAAGAGGTGACTCGCTCAACTCTACTGGAAGAGCCCCTCGCGAGAGAATGTCAGCCGGGTTCAATGCTGTGGGAACATAGTGCCATTCCATTTGAGCAGTAAGTTCCTGTATCGTTGCCACAAATACTGTCTATTTGCGACAAATACGTTGAATCTGGACGGTTCGTCCCGAATCTAAGAGAGCGCAACAGACGAATCACACCAACAGTAAAACTTCCATTTGAATTCCTTCATTCCGGCTATCTCAGATATGAGTCTAGCTAGCAACTCCGCTCCACAAAGCTCCAGCTTTGGTACAGTCAGTGTTTTTAATGGAGCAACACGATATTTTGCACAGAGTAAGTGGCTGCTGAACCGCTGACCCTTAGACACAACATAAATGCAGGCTTATGGTCCTCAATGCTGGCGTCGCAAAATCCGTGAATTTCTAGCTCAAAATTCGGAATAAGCACGAACCGAGGAAATTCATAGCGTCGAATGTGGCCAAAACTGTTACATAATTCCTGCCAGGAGGTGTTCAGTCCTGATGGCAAGCTTTCATCCCAGAACAACTTCTCCTTGCACAACTGCTGGAGAAAGATTTTTGACTTTGTAATGACAGGTCCAGCTAGTCCAAGGGGGTCGTAGAACCGGTCTATTGTAGACAAGACGGAACGCCTGCTGGGATGCGAAGACGAATGTAGGGCAGAAGAGGAGAATAAAAGTTGATCAGACACAGGATCCCAGGCAAGTCCCAGTGTTTTGGTAAAATCACTGCCATCGTCGAACTTCAAATAAGTTTCCTTGTCCTCCTCCGGAACCCCATCGAGGACAGCAGGGACGTTCGAACACCATTTCCTCAGTCGGAACTGGCCTCTACTCAAAATTCCTGCAGTTTGCTCACGAATGCGGATAGCCTCCTCCGGAGAGCTGGCTCCAGATATTAGGTCATCAACGTAGAAGTCACGCCGAAGAATCTCAATCCCAATAGGAAACGCTGTCTGTTCATCCATTGCCAGCTGATGCATCGCCCGCACAGATAAATAAGAGGCAGGCTTCGTACCATAAGTAACGGTGTCCAGCTTGAACACACGCAACTCCTCTTGCATGGAATTCCTCCATAGAATACACTGCAAGTTACTGTCCTCAGATGAGACCCTGACACATCGGTACATCTTGCAAATATCACCCGTAATCGCAACTGCATGTGACCGAAATCGAGTAAGAATATGGAAAAGCTTCGGTTGGATTACAGGACCGGCCATTAAAACGTCGTTCAGGAAATAACCAGATGATGTTGATGCAGATCCATCGAAAACGACCCGAAGCTTGGTTGTAGAACTATCTTCCTTTGTGACGCAATGGTGAGGCAAAAAATATCGGCAGGAGCTGATTGACTCGGCAGGAACCAAGGACATATGACCTAGATCAAGGTACTCTTTTATGAAAGCAGCATACAGAGATTTTACATCAGGACGGCGATCTAACTTCCGTTCAAGGGATAAGAACCTTCGAAGAGTTTGATGGTACGATTCTCCCAAGAGATCCAGATTGTATTTTGCGGGCAGCCTAACACAATAATCGCCGGTTTGCAATCGGCGGAAATGCTGCACAAAGTGAGCTTCACAATCTAGCTCTTCTTTGGTAGAATTTACTATGGGTTCGATGCAATTCTCTACCTCCCAAAACCGTCGCAGCAGGAACTCAAGTCTCTCGTCTAGGTTATCCTCCGCAGCTACGGCCGGGGCGCGCGAAACCATTAAAGAGGACCCCTTCTTTACCCGGGAACAACCTCCAGATATGACCCATCCCAAGCGAGTCTTCTGAATTGAGGGCAATCCTGGCAATAGCTTGACCTGGCCAACACAGAGGAGTTCGTTAAACAAGCTGGCGCCAATTAGAAGATCAACACGCTGCGGTCTATAAAACTCTGGATCAGCTAGTGGCAGATTTGCTGGAATATTCCAGTTGCAAGTGTCTATTCCGAAGCTCGGCTGCCGGTCGGTTATGCTAGAGGCTACGACAGCGGTGATGAGAGTTGAGTATTCCGATGAGCGAGAGTGCAGACTGACGTTGACCGAAACTCCATCCGTGACAAAGGTAGAATCGCCTATTCCTGATACTGACGTTGATGATTTCATTTTTCGAAGCTGAAGCTGATTTGCGAAGCGAGAAGTAATTAAGTGTAGTTGAGAGCCAGAATCAAGCAACGCTCGACAGGGAACAAAAACTCCGGAACGATTTTTTACAAAGACTGTTGCCGTGGCTAGCAGAACGACATCATCACTGAGACCCTGGGCAATAAGAGCAGAAGAGGTAGATGCTGGGATAGATGGTTCAGTGGTATGAGTAGCTGCCGTGGACGCTGAAGCAGAGGACTCAGCGATGGGATGAGATGACGCAGACGGAGACGAAGTGCCAAATGGAACAGATCCACCTTGGGCTGCAGTAGCATCAGGGCCACCGAAATGCAAGAGAGTGTGGTGCCTACGTCCACAGGTACGGCATTTGCTGGAGCTACATTGACTCAATCGATGCCCTGTTTTGAGGCAATTTACACACAGGGATAGCCTTTTGGCTTCCTTATGGCGATTTGCGGGAGACAGTGCTATAAAATTGGGACAATGATTGATTTCGTGAGCGCTGTCATTGCACAGCACGCAGCTTGATGTGTTTTGGTTAATGGCAACAAGTGTGGATTTAGAATGGTTAGGTTTTCTACTCCTGCCCACCTGACTGCTTGGCGCATATGTTGCCATAGCGAAATCCACTGTTTCCAACGTCCTGCATCGCTGCTCCAAAAACGAGGCCATGGACTCCCATGATGGAATCAAGTTGACGAAGGCTGAGTCCTCTAAACGTTCCTCCCACTTGGCTTGAGTCGCCGGGTCCAGTTTACGAAGAAGCACCTGCACTATGATGCATCCTGCGATCTGCTCAGGCGCGCCCAAAGCCTGCAGCGCCCGAATGAGCGTTGACACTGACCCATTCTCAACTGCCTGCAGCCCCAGAATCTCAGTAATGTGCGCCTGAAAAACTAAACAACGATTATTAAAAAGCTTTTCCAATAAATCCAATGCTATATTATAGTTGCTGTCCGAGATTTCCAGCGAACGAACTGTCTCCAACTCCGAGTCACGCAGGCAAGATCGCAGATGCTGAAACTTCTCAATGTTGGTAGGTCTGGATGATTGTCGATGATGGTCGTGAATCGAGTAAGTCCGTCCAATCCGCATACCTCCGCTAAACCTGGCAATGTATGGAGGGGATATCCTGGCCTACGACGAGGTGGCGGCTGAGACCGGCCCGCAGTGCATGCTGCAGCAAACGTAGAAGCAGCGGCAGTATCCGTAACCTAGCAGTTTCACGATGACAAGCCTTGAGAGCACTGGCAATGTTCAAAGCTGCGCACAGCCACTATGAATTTAGTTGCAGTCCAATCTTCAAGCTCGTTGTGCAATGTTTCAAATTGCCCATTCAGCTCCTCGAGCGGTAGCCAATCTTTTCACTTTCTCACATAGTTCCGTTGACTGAATCCTCAGAAAAGACACCCTGTTTTGCTTCCTGGGCACTGGAGCGTTGTTGCAGCAGAGTTTCTTAAAACGTTCGTAGCGGGAAGAGGAACACAAAGCACAACGCGCGTAACAAACGGGAACTTCAAGCGCAATTTGTGTATGCACAGGCGGCAAGTGTATATGCTTGTACGGCAGCTATGTGGTCGATGGCACTGGATCAGAGCGGCGAGCAAAGCAGACGAACGAACGGCAAGTAAGTGCTAATTATTATGTTGAAATGTAGTTTGTGATATGTACCAAATTGCACAAATCACGTCGGGGTCCCCAATGTTTGAGCTATTAAGCGCTTTTAATAGCTATTTTAATTTAATTTAAGAACAGAGCCGATAAATTTATTACAATTTTATTTTATTAGTATTTAGTAGCGGCAGTACGCGTATTTAATATGTTTGCTTAAGGTATATAGACCGAACGTTCTGAATATCAATAATTGACTGATCGCAGGGCAAAATGGGCCGACTGCCCGTGCCCTATGCATAACGAGAGCGTGAGAGCATTATGGTATAGTTAGGCTCGGCTTCTGAGCCGAGTAGAGCTGCTTAAACGCAGCAGGTGCAGCAGCATCACGAAGGCAGCGGGAGACAGCCGCCAGAACAGACGCTGCCGGGCGTAGGCATATGCGTTATGCTGCTTGACCCGACACGCCTTAACTCTTTTTTGAGTACGGGTATAAAAAGACTCTATGGAAAGGGTCCACTAAGATTGCAGACAGTCAGAAGTGGCTCAATATAGCCACTTCTCGATGAAATTGATAATAATATATTGGTCTAGACTATATATATTTTTTATGATAAAAATTACCTTCCCAAAAAGGATATTCCTAATTATAATTTTAAAATATCCAAGCAGAGCTACAAACCAATTCAAAAGAGCTATTCTAATGCATGAAATTGTGAACAATCTTCCCTAATAAAAACGAGAAGGAACGTGCGAGTCGCTTCTTAGGACGCGAGTCTACTCATACCCGTACTCAGTCAACATATACATTTTTGTGCATATGACTTTTTAGAATTTTAGAATAAAACATTTTTTTGCTACATCTGATATCTACATCTACAATGCATATTCTACATCTAACATGTAGATTGTACATGTTCCATTTAGAATCTACATCTCCTCCGCTAGGGATTGCTAGGGCACTGAACGCGGCAGAGTGTGCGAGCGAGAAAGAGAATGAGTGGTTGGTTTCTTGATGCATGGGGAGGGGCAAGCAACAGAAAATTGATTTCTTCATTCTGGCTATAATTATAATCCGATCTGATTCAGATTCGGCAATCTGGTAGATATGTTCATTCTCTACATACTGCGTTCTCTGAAATCTAGGCGCTCAACAAGACGGACAGACAGACGGACAGACAGACAGACAGACATGGCTCTGAGCGGGCACGGCTGCTTCCGCAGCTACCTCAAGCGCTTCGGCCACGAGACGGAGGATTGGTGTCCAGAGTGTGGCACGGGTATGTGGAAGACGCTCAGCACGTTCTTTTTGAGTGCCATAGGTTCGGCTACGAGCGGCAGGAGTTGGAAGCCGCTGCAGGGAAAAGAATAAGTGCGGAAACTCTGGTGCCGCTGATGCTGGCTGAGCCGAGAGTTTGGGAAGCGGCCGCGGTGTTCGCCTGTAGCGTGATGAGAACGCTTAGGTCCCTGGAGAGAAGGCGGAAGGAACGGACGGAGTAGGTGTCCTCGCGGCGGCGAAGCAATGCCTTGCGGCAGTACCGCTCGGCGCACGACCCCTACCCCTACCCACCATCACCCCCCTGTCCGTCACCCCTTACTGTTATTGTTACTGTTACTATGTGTACTGTTACGAAGTTAAAGTTAAAATATATGAATACAAAAAAAAAAAAAAAAACATGGCTATATCGACTCGGCTATACTCGTTTCCCTCTCTGCGTTACACACATCCACTTTTACCAAAAATCGAATATACCCCTTAACTCTTTTTTAAGTACGGGTATAAAAAGTCATCTGCATATTGAAATAGAATACCATTTTCATCATTTATAGAATGAAAATCTGATGTATAGATATTAAAAAGTATTGGGCTAAGGCAGCTACCTTGACACACACCCTTGTGAACAGTTTTTTCCTGTTTGCCGCATTTTAAAATCCTTTTCTCCAAACAACTAATTAAAAAACCTAATATACAGGGGTGCCACAGAAATCACTAGTGAAATGGGAAACCGCGCAGAGGATTTCCGCTCTAAAATTTCCGCCGTGCCACACAATTCCGAGCGATTTCATTTTTCTTAGCATTGTCACAAACCAAATTCGAACTAAGACTAGGGTTGACACCTTTAAAGATTCAATTCGAACAGGGTTCATTTTGCAGTTTTATTGATTTTATCATATCAAAACAATTGGTTTTTCTTTTTTTCTTTTATGATATAAAACAATTGATTTTTCAAAGCTGTACTTTTATAATTTCAAAGCAAAAAAAACATCCCATATCGTGCTAGTCAAACAAAACAATGTACTCGGCAACTCTAGCAGTTGTCTGGCAACTCTCCATGCATGGCAGCAATCAGCTGTTAAAAAAAAAACACACATCTGAATTTTACGGTAAACTTAATTAAAATGCTTTTACCGAGACTGTTGGCCATCGAAGAACTACGGAGGCAACATATTAGAGTACAAACCTTGCAGCGCAGGCTTTTCAGGTGAGCATCGGACTCGTTTTCACGTTCAGACGATACGTATGTGGTTTTTGTGATTGTCTTCTCAAACTACTGCTAATTTAGTTCATTACAATTACCAGTTTTTGGTATAATGATCGCTATGGGTCTGCGCTTAGCCGAACAGGGGTTTTTGACATAAATGCAATGGCATTAATGTGTAGAAATGGTTTTTTAGTTTTGTTTTGGCATTTTGAAGCGACACCTGGTAGAACTACAAATGACTACAAATGTTTTCACATTTTTAAAAAAAGTATGCACACGTTTGCATAAAGGAAGTGCGTAAAGGAAGTTTTACTAGAATGAGCTATTTTTTGTAATGCTTAATTAAAGAAAAACAGAATGCTTTCAATATAATTAATATTAAATATATTGCTCCGAATTCGACTTAAAAAAGGTGACATTACTGTATTAACTTCGAAAGTCCGAATCGCCCTAGGTGGCTACCTTGCTCTGCAGCGGATTGAGAGCGGAATCGTTAAGTGAAAATTCAGTCAGCGGGTTGAATAGTGATTTACTAAAATGCTTTTTTTTATTAACTCAACATGTATAATGTTCAATTATTTGGATGAGGGTTAACCACCAATTGAACAACCATGATGGGAAAGTAAGATTCGAATCGTTTTAGGTGTGTTTTATGGGTGTATTTAATCAAATAGCTGGATAAATTGTGAGCGATTTTGATTCCGCTGAAAAATCTGTGTGTGGCACGGCGGAATGGAATTCAGGTGATTTTCCAGCGGAAGAGATTTTCAGCTTTCGACACAGCAGAGGTATGTTGACTGCGTCAAATGCCTTGCTTATATCCAAAACCGCTGCACCAGCCTGAAAGCCTTTGGCTTTGAAATTGGCTACATTATTTATTACATCATTTATGCAGTGTGCAGTGGTTTTTTCTAAAGGCATAAGATCTAATGACCAGTAGATTGTGCCTATTTATAAAAGATTCCATTCGAATCTTTATCATACCCTACAAGCTTTTAAATAAAACGCTTAGGAGGCAGATAGGTCTGTTGTTTGAGACGTCTACATTTTTTTTTGGTACAGGAATAACCTTTATTATTCGCCAACTATTCGGAATAATTCCACTGAAGAAAATTTCGTTTAATAATGAGAGAAGGTTTTCTTGTTGGTCAAAGGGAAGAGAGAGTAGCATTTTATAAAATATATTATCTATTCCTTTAGCTGAGTCGGGATTTCTGGATTTTAGAAAAAATAAAAGTTCATCTAATTTAAAATTAGTTCTAGTTAGTTTAAGGTCCCATCGCTCTGGAATGGTAGTATGCTCCCAAGAGTTAGTGTTGGGTTTGTCTGCAATTTGCTTAAGAAAATTTTGATGTTCAACATCATTCCAAGTACTTTTTAGTGGCTTGATTTGTTTATATAACTTAAGACTTTTAATTTTTTGCCACATTTCTTTTGGAGATGATGGATTTGAAATTGCATCGGAAAGTGTGTTCATGTTATCTTTTCTGATCTTATATATGTAATTGTTTAAAGTTTTGTTAGCTTTAATATATTCAAATGCGTCCGTAAAGAGTTTAGTTTTGTAATATTTTTGTCTCTTAGCATTTCTTAATCTAAAAAGTCTTTCACTCGCCTCGTCCCAGTATTTTTTAGGAATATAATTTGTTGAGCTAGCGAGCTTTTTCACTAGCTGTTGAATTTAGATTAAATTAAGAAGTCGAGCTATTCAATATACTTTATGTGTGTACAGTTTATTTGTTAAGTAGGCGAAATATAGGGTGCGTAGGTGTAGCGAAATAAAGCGAGAGGTGCCGGTTGATCAAATCAAAGCGAGAATTGAAGACGCAGGGTCTGTTCAATATGCGAGAGAAGTGAGTGATTGATCAAGACGGTAGAACGTGAGTGCGATAATGATGACGATCAATTAAAGACTAAAAGAGGGCAGGCGGACCGAATTGCCCGTGCCCTAATGCAAGCGAGAGAGAGAACGAAAGAAGCGATAGAAGCTCGGCTGCTGCTGAGCCGAGCACGAGCGATAGATAGAGAGAGAGAATGCGAGCGAACAGCATAGATGCTGCAGCTGCAGTAGCAAATGAAGAAGGAGATATAAAGAGGCGAAAGAACGGCCGCTGCCGTGAGTAATTATAATCGGTTACAATATATATATGCAGTGGGCAATGCAAATAGAAAACAAAGGTGAGATTACGTTAATTTGCTCCATTGGCTATTTTGAGGAATTTATTGGGGAATATCAGGCTGGGAAACCAGACATAATTGTTATTTACAGATAATTTTATGGTATTTATTGCCTCGCCGGGCAATGTCTCCAAATCTGGGCCGTACGTTTAATGAGTCTCTTGTAGTCGATCGTTCAGTTCAATGTTCAATGTTCTTTATTCACAGGTGTTTCGGGTGGATAATTATGAATATTTAAGTTTATAAATGATAATGAATTTTCTATACAGAGGAGCTAAAAAACTTGTACCGCTTTTTCAATTAACCTTAGCTGCTTTTTTCACGCCTTTTTCTTCTCTGCTCGTTTTCTGCCATTCGCCCTGCTTAACCTTTAGATCTTAACCCCTTTTACTCTATTCGGCCGGCTTAACCCTTTTTTCGGCTTATGTTGGTTTCGGTGCTGTTAGGCGCAAAGGTTTTTCGCGCTGCCATTTAGGTTCATGCCATAACATTCCCCCCTTCGCAAACTTCGTCGTTTTTCGTGATGTTTGCCAAAATTCTGGTTACGTCTTGGTCGGCATGTTGATTTGTCGATGGGGTTGGTTGGCGGGCCATGCCATTTGGTTCGTGAAGTAAGACTTGGTAGATATTCCTTCAGCCATCGTTTTCTGAAGCTGTCCGCCATCTGACCTGCAATGCGAAAACTCTTACCAAGTGAAACTCCGATCGTGCTGCTGTCGTCATTCGCTGCCATCGAACTGGTCTCTGCTCTCAGGAAGTGATTTGGTGTAAGTACGTCAGCTTCCGGACTCTCCAATGGCACGTAAGTCAGGGGTCTGGAATTCAGCATATTTTCTATTTTTGCCAGTGCCGCTCTCAGCACTGGTTCTTGTACATGTTTCTCTTCCAATATCTCGGATAATATGGATTTTACAGATCTGATCATCCTCTCCCACGCACCGCCCATATGAGGTGCTCCTGGGGGTATGAAGGACCATTCGATTTCCGGGTACTTGGTTTCCAGCTCGTCTGATGAGATTCTTGCGATTTCTTCTTGTAGTAGCCGGCTCGCTCCTCTAAAGTTTGTCCCGTTGTCCGACACGATTCTCTTAGGGACTCCTCGACGGGCTACAAACATTTCCAGCATTAGCATGAATGCGTCCGTAGACAGGGAATTCGCCAGCTCGATGTGTACTGCTCGCACGGTGAGGCAAGTGAATAAAACACCCCATCGTTTCTCTCGCCGTCTTCCTACATTTACTTCTAGTGGGCCAAAGTGGTCGATGCCTGTATTCGTGAACGGTAGTTCGTTGATTGCTAGCCTCTCCGGTGGCAAGCTTCCAATCTCCGGCGTCTCTGGAAGCGCCCTTTTATTGCGACATTTTTGGCAAGTTTTCGCTATGGCGCGAGCTCTTGCCCTCAGTCTGATATGTGATATAACTGTCGCATCTCGTTGACCACGATCTCCGTAAGTTGATGCTGAAACTTCCGATGTAAATAATCTATAAGAAGATGAGTGATGTAATGTCCGCTGGGTAGGATTACTGGCCGTTTCAGATTCCTTGATATGCCGATCGATCTATCTATGCGGCCGCGTATTCTCAGTACGCCTGCTTCATCAAGATATGGTGATAATTTATAGATCGAACTTTTCTTACCCACGATGCTTCCTTGCCGTAGGAGGGTCGTTTCCTCAGAGTAAGCCTCTTCTTGGATCATCCGGTAGATTACGTTATTGACGTCTTCTATGTCGCGAAAGTGAGTGGCTAGTGTTGCTTTCTCCGACGCTAGATCCTTTTTGCATATTTTGGTCAGAAATCGCATCACACATCTTAGGGTTCCTCTTAACTTTTCCCACTTACTGAAGCGGTTTATATTTGGGACTATGCTGCTTAGCCTTGATAGCCTTGATAGTGTCTCCTTCAATTTGTGTACGTGTATCCGTTCCAGATTACCCTTAATTCTTCGATGTTTTGAAGTTGCCGTGCCCAAAACGACCAGCGTTGGCGTTCGTTCTCTCCGACTGATTCGTCCCAGCCTACGGCAAACCTCCACACATCCTGCAGTATAATCTTTGCCTGTATTATAAAGAAACCTAGTAGTCCTAGAGGATCGAATATGGTCATGACTATGCGTAAAATTAGCCGCTCGTCACCGTTTTCTTTTCGTCGTATATGTCATCCTGGAACTTATTGATGAAGGTGAAGTAGTCAGTTCTTGGATCCCACCATATCCCAAGCACGCGTTCCCGTCTTGTCGAATCCGTCATCTCTATGGCGCGTTCTTGATGGTCTCCCTCTCCCGAGAGCGCTCTCATTACGGTATTTGAGTTAGATATCCAACCTCTCATCTCGAAGCCTCCTTCCTTGTGTATTTTTCGGACCTCCAGCGCTAAGCGGACCATTTCGTCTTCGGAGTCGCAACTTTGGAGCCAATCGTCTACGAAGGTGTTGCGTAATATGGCCTCTACTGCCTCTGGTTGCTGCTTCATGAATCTTTTTGCGTTTCTGTCTCTCACGTAGGTCGCTGCTGCTGGGGAACAAGAAGCACCAAAGGTCATTACATTCATTACGTACCTATCCGGTTCTCGACTGTTGTCGCCGTATCTCCAAAGAAATTGCTGTGAGCTTTGGTCCTCCGAACGTATCATAACCTGGTGAAACATTTCGCGGATTTCTCCGCTGATGCCGATAGACTTCTCTCGAAAAAGCGTTATTACTCCTACGAGTGACGGCAGTTCATCAGGGCCCTTAAGTAGCATTGAGTTAAGAGCAGTGCCTTCCACTTTGGCTGCTGCGTCCCACACGAGTCTTAATTTGCCTTTATTTGGGTTTTTGTTTACAAATACGGGCAAATACCAGGAGCGCTTTCCCTCGACCATTTCATCTGTTTCAAGTTTCCGGACGTAGCCGATGTCTTCGTACCTCTGAATTTGTTTGTTTACAAACTCTCGTAGCTCATTGTCGCGTGTCATACGGGATTCTAGGCACCGAAGTCGTCGCATGGCCATATTTCTGGAAGATGGAAGTTCCACGTTGTCGTACCGCCAGAGAAGTCCTGTTTCCCATCTCTTCATATCGCTGCGGAACCTCGTGGTGTTGCCCAGTATGGAATTGGCTTTTTCATCTTCCTTGGACCTGAGTGTGTTCTTCGATGTACTTACGCCTACCGCGTCCAATGAGAAGCTCTCTTTTATGAGATCGTCTAGCGGTGGGTGGTTATTACATTCGCATACATGCATTACTCGCGGGCTTGCCGGCCCGTCACTCTTTCTGCGGCCATAAACAGACCAACCTAACCTGGACTTGGCGGCGATGAACTCTGAATCTTCGCGCTCTTTCACGTTCAGTGGAACTCCAAGTTTCACGTTGTCCAGTCCGATGATCAACGACGCTCTTACATCCTTGTAGCCGAGTATCGGTAGCTTTTCCAAGTGCGAATAAGATTTTAGGATTGAATTGTCAAGCGTCTGCTTCGGTAGATCCAGGTTTTTGACTGTCCTCACGTTTTGGAGCGTAAATTTGCGCGCCGCGTTGTCCTTTGCCGAGATTACCCACTTGGATTCGGCTTCTCTTTGCGTGATGTCTCCCGTCCAGCGTAAGCATAACTCGTCCGAGGGGCCATCAATACCCAGCTTTTCCGTTATCTCCGTCTCGATCAGGGTACAGGCGGATCCTTCATCTATCAATGCGAACACTTTCATTTGGCCGCTGGGCCCGTGCAATGTTAAGGGGACATATCTAAACAACGCAGCTTCGTTCTGCATTGTGTGTAGAACCATAGCTTCTTCTTTTGTCTTGTTTTCTACCTTCGTACTGTGCTGGTTACTGTTGTGAAGGAGAAAATGATGCTTTCTCGAACATCCATCGACGGAACATACTCTTGTTGACCTGCAGTGTCTTATAAAGTGCTTGCCTAGGCACCTCCAGCAAAGCTTACTTTCTTTTACGAAGTCCCATCTACTTGACCCCTCTAGATCTAGAAACTGCTTACAGTCCTCCAGTTTGTGGATTCCATTGCACTTACGACAGGGTTGTTGTGCGTTGCTATCGTTATGCACCATAAGCCGGACCCTTGGATTCTTCTCCTTTGCGCAGGCTTCTTTCTCGGATGCGACGGGCAACACAGTGCTTGCACATGCCCAGTCCAGCTTCAAGTCGAATGGAAGTTTCTCTACAAGGTCACGAAGTAACATTGGGTCATTCAGATAAGCGGATAGTCCTATCGCGTCGATGGTCGATAGTTTTGCACCGACAGCGCAAGACGAACTAGGCTTTCAATGCTGCTCGATTTCACGGACGGTTCCATTAGTAGCTTCGTTTGAAGCGTGTGATAGATAGCCTCTGGTCGGCCATATAACATTCGAAGAGTCTCGATGGCTAGTCGAACTGTTGCTGGCATCATTAATTTTCCTCGTACTGCTTCCAAAGCGGAACCTTTCAGGCACTTTTGCAACCTCATGAGATTTTCTTGATCGCTAAGCCCGCAACGTTCGGTAGATTGTTCAAAGTTTACAATGAACATGGGCCATTCCTCGGGGTTGCCGGAAAAGCATGGCATATTCTTATTGATGACTTGTCTAGTCGCTATCTGCTCGCGGGTCAAGCATCTCTCCATCCCCGCTGCCGCGACTGCTTGGTTATTCACGTACGCGTACGGGTCCGACATATTTCGGCTCGTACTTGGATAATTCTGTGCAGTCGACACGCGTATGAAGGGGTTTTGCCCACATAAATAAGTGCTCGATGCCGGTGCAACCATTGGATAAGGCATAGCGCCGCTCGGCATTGTCTCGTTTGGATTCAGCCCCATAGGCATTCCAATCCGATTCGCCGCAGTCATTCCTGAATTGTCGCCTCCGTTACAGCTGGGAACTGCTTTTTCCCAACCTCCGCTGAGGACCGTAGAGCTCATAAGACCTCCTGTTTGGGGCGGTCCTGAATACGTCGTTATGGGACGCATTCCTTCGAAAGCACTGGCATAGGTCGGCCTTCCCATAGTATCCGCTCTCCGCTGAGCGAATGCTTCTAAGTTATACATGGAACTCGTTCTTGGTGAAGAGACTTGATCAGTCCATCCCCCTCCGTTGGTATGCTCTGGTACTTGATGACGTTCTGGAACTGCGATGGGCACGTTAGGTGCGGCCTTTGCCGCCGCCGAGATCACGTCTATATTCGTATCCCTAACGTGAGACATTTCCCCTTCGCCTCCCTCGGTCTCAGGACCCGTACCAGGCGTCTTTTCAGGCGCGTATAAATCTCTTAGTCCACACGGGTTACTGCCTCCAGATTTTGACTATTGACCATTAACTCCATCCATTTGTACTCGATGTGTTTTGCCGCGTGGTCTTAAGTTTGGTTATACACGAACCTCGTGTCGCTCGAATGTAACAGATTAGCCTTTCTGTTCAACTCTATGAGGATATCTCACCTGCAAAGTCGAATCTTCTCGTGACGCAGCTGACTGCGTCGCGCGCCGATCTTCTTTTAACCGGTCGCAATGATTCGACTTGCACTCCGCTAAAGCAGGTTAAAGTTTTTTAGAATATTGCCTCGCCGGGCAATGTCTCCAAATCTGGGCCGTACGTTTAATGAGTCTCTTGTAGTCGATCGTTCAGTTCAATGTTCAATGTTCTTTATTCACAGGTGTTTCGGGTGGATAATTATGAATATTTAAGTTTATAAATGATAATGAATTTTCTATACAGAGGAGCTAAAAAACTTGTACCGCTTTTTCATTTAACCTTAGCTGCTTTTTTCACGCATTTTTCTCCTTTTCTTCTCTGCTCGTTTTCTGCCATTCGCCCTGCTTAACCTTTCGATCTTAACCCCTTTTACTCTATTCGGCCGGCTTAACCCTTTGTTCGGCTTATGTTGGTTTCGGTGCTGTTAGGCGCAAAGGTTTTTCGCGCTGCCATTTAGGTTCATGCCGTAACAGTATTATTTGAGATTATTTTTTTGGTTGAACTATTTATGTTTTCTAATGTGCTAATTTTTATCTTAGAGAAATCCTCAATTACTCTTTTGTGTAAAATGTTATTGCTAGGTTTGATAGAGTAGTTCGAAATATCAATAACTATAGGAAAATGGTTGCTGTTTAAAATTTTAGAGTTTTGAACGGACCAGTTTATGTTATTATTAGATTTATTTACCAGTGTAATGTCTAGTGCTGAAGAATAATTTGGATTGGGTGAAAAAGTTGAAGAGCCATTATTTATCCAAGAAAAACCTGAATTCAATAAAGCTCTCTCCAAATAATTACCTCTAGCATTCTGTATGATGTTTCCCCATATGGACGATTTGGCATTAAGGTCGCCCCGTATAAAAGTCAGGCCATTTAACGAAGCTGCTTAAGTAAATAAATTCGTACATCCTGATTCAAAAGTTTGAAGGTTGATGTTTGGGACACAATACACACTAAAAATATTTATGTTTTGGGAGAGATTTTCTGTACTTAGACCTATGACTTCAAGACTTGTATTGTATTTCAAAATTTTAAATTGTATATTTTTCTTTATATAAATTCCAACACCTCCGTAACCATCCTCCCGCTCTTTACAGATAAAGTTGAAATTTAATAAATTACACATGGCATTATTTTTGATCCAAATTTCAGATATTATGGCAATATCAATGTTATGGTTAATCAAGAAAATTTCTAGTAGATGCTAATTATTATTTTTAGTAAGACTTTGAATGTTGTATTGTAGTATTTTCATAGAGATAGTTAGAATCAATGTAAAAGAATTAAAGAAAATAATAGATATATAAATGGAAAAAACAAAAAAACAAAAGCAATTTGCACAGATCACATCAGTACAGATAGCTTCTAATGAATGCGAACGTGGACATTTATGACATTTTTGCTCTGCTTGTTTGCAATGTTGAGCAAAATGTCCAAATCTATAGCATCTATAACATTGATTAAAGGGAACATAATGAATCACTGGTACTTTTGTACAAAGAAATGCAACTTCTCAAGGAATTTGTGCACCTTTAAACAAGAGTTTAACTCTTGAAGTTGGAACAAATAAATCTTTGTTACTCTTATCTCTTGTTTTAATTCTAATCAATTTCTCAATAGGAACCGGAGAGTCGATGTATTCAGCTAATAATTCGTCAGAAATGGATGTTGGTATATTACAAATTAGACCCGTTCTATAAACGAAATGATTAAAAACTATAGGTTCATAACCATGATTCTTTAAATTAATCATCACAAACTTATTGGCACTCATTGAGTTTTTAAATTCATTAGCAACAATCGCAAATAATAACACTCTTGATTGTTAGGATGAACTGTATAAATTCGTCCTATCGCATCTGAGTGAAACAATACTGGCTGACCATGAACGGCTTTTCCGCGTCTTCGCCTTTGAAAAACTTTTGACGAATTATTCCACGTATAATATTCGGGTACTTCGGCGTATAGCAATGTTTTCGCAAAATCATCAGCTTGACTCAACGAAAAAAATGCATTTAGAGTTGTTGCTGGTGGTTGCGCAGCTCTTCGCATTGCATTTCCGGGTGTGAAAAAAACGCGTTGACCGTTTTCAAGATGAACAGCTAAATGAACTACAGTTGGGTGCCCATCATGGATCGGGAACGATAATATGCGCCATACTGCTTCATTTGAACTGATGTATCTGCCCATTTGAAATTGAGTGATTTCATCGGTAACATTAGCAACTGCTCCAAAAACAGCCATATCACTGCCCTTGTTGATGTATTTGCAAATGTATTTAATAGATTGAACTGAATTGCAGACCTCTACGTTTTTGTGCGCTTTATAAATCTTAGATAATAACGGTGAATATGGCACAACCCAACGATTATCAATCTCCAAATCTTGATTTTTAACTCTCAAAGTAACCGAATTTTGATCGATATTCGGGATATCCATCGTTGCCCGTCCGTTTTGGAGACCAAATTTTTTGGAAAACGTTTGGAGCATTTCCCTACAACCATACAGGGTGAATTCAAATTCAACGCACCACATTGACCGTGAATCATATTTTTGGTGACCACTTCAAACAATTCAGGATCCACTGTCGGATCTGGAATTTCTGCCGGAATCACATCGTCAATTTGATTCGGCCTTATTTTTTTAATCAGCCAAATTAAAATATGCGCATGAGGCAAACCTCGTATCTGCCATTCAATTGAATACATCCAACATTGAACAGACCCAAATGCACCGTGTTTGACAATTAAATCCATGAGTGATTTCAATTTTTGTCTAAAATCACGTGCTAAAATATCATGGCGATCTTTCGATGTTTGGCCAACAAACAATAATTCCGAGATTTCTTCCCATTGCGGATTACACGTGAAGGTGATGAAGAGGTCTGGTCGACCGTAACGGCGAACGTATGACATCGCATCTTGCGCGTACTCAAACATATGACGTGGACTTCCAACATACGATGACGGTAATATTATCATAGTTCCAACGTTTTGTGCATTACCATCGTTGTTAATGGCATCACGCAAATGAACATACTCTTCGGAACGTAATTTTGAATTTGGTTGAATCGAAGAAAATTTAACCGTTCCGATTCAATTTTTGCATACATGTCAACAATATACTGGTGGAAAAGTGCTCTACACCTCAATATGTGGTTGTCTTGATTTTGCCGTATCTGCAGCCTGTATGCGTAATAATTCATAGCACTAACTTTCTTTGTTCCTTCTCGACCGTTTACTGGATTTATGATTTTAATGTTGAAATAATAGCCATCTTGTCCGCTCCAAAACAATATGGGATATTGTAGTGCATCATAACAGCGATGAGTCTCGGATACACGTTCGAGTTGTTCATTTCTACGATGAAGCACAATATCACGATTATTAAATTGTTCATCAACTATGACTATTGCCACTTCGTCAACTGTTTGTGCATTGAAACGCCTTGCATGTTCGCCAACCGGTGTTTTATCAGCTCGAATAACAATTTTATGATCGTCAGATGGCATTCGATCAAGCGATGTTTTGAAAACCTGAACCAATTCGTTGTGCTCATGGAACATATTTTGCAAATCGAAAATAATTTGTCTCCGCGTGTTGGTAATAATGGCACACCGACGATCAACTTCGTCTTCCGCGTTCCCGATAAAATATAATTGCAAAAATTGGTGGTCTGCGTTGTCGAAAGGTAACAAAGAGCCAGCTCGATGATATATTTGACCTTGAATCTGAATAAAATATATGATAGAATGAGAACAAACGTACAATTTGCATAAACAAAACTATTTAATTACCTTAAACGTTGGCATGAAGTTGTCTCTTATAATATTTGTGGCGCCAAAAGATGTCATTTGAAAACTCGAATTATATTGTTCAAAAAATGATTAGACTCAGGTGTCAATCCATTAAGTAATGTGCTCAATGGTTGTGGTGGGCTGCCTAATTCAGGCAATTTCACTTTACCACTCGCACAGCACATCCCATTTGCTTCACCTTTAAATTTTAATGCCTGACAATGGCGACAACGGTCGTTCATTGGACCAATTACAATTTGCCTATGAGAAGCGTAATCGGTGACACTACTGTACGCGAACGCAACACCTTGTAGATTTTGAATATCACGACGTTCATTTGCAGTTGTTGTTGCATCATTGTTCCGTTGATTTGAACGGGACCTTGCTGTGCGTAGACGATTATTTTCATTGCGATATGTAATGTCTTGCCTACTTTCACGGCTCCTTGAAGCCACAACTTGAAACGAATTTCGCGTTCGCCGACCCAAATTTAATCGTCTCGACATTTAACTTTAAAAACCACACAGGTTGGTTTAAAACGCAGACATTTTCAAAAGCAACAAATATACTTACACAAATTGCAATTTTTTCAGAAAACAAATTTTCACACAAAAAGTTATAAAAAACAAAATCTATCATCAAATGTTCTGTTCTACAGAATGACACAAAGTGAAATGAAATAGGCGTTCAAACACACATTTTTAGACCAAATTTGTTCTACAGAATGACACAAAATGAAATGAAGTAGGCGTTCAAACCCACATTTTTACACCAAATTTGAGATTTTTTTTTTGATTAATTTTTAATTTTTGTGTAACTTATTTATAGAAAAGTGAAAACTGAAAAAAACCCATGCAATTTGGTGCACGCGTTGCGGAGAAATGAAATGAAATGAACCAGGCGTTCAAACACACTTTTTTGGACCAAATTTAAGATTTTTTTTATTCATTTTTAATTCTTGAGGAACCTATTTATAGAAAAGTACAAATTTGCTTGTGCAAACCAGGTCACATTCTCTGGCTATCATTAAAAAAAAACAGCATGCAATTTGGTGCACGCGTTGCGGAGATAGCCGCTTTTTTCTACAAATTTATAGTATAAATTATTATTTCTGCTTGCTATAATCCAAAATTTTAAACAGATTTCTGTTTGTAAACAAACGCAAAACAGTGTAACCATAAAGCATGCAGTTTGACCTCTAAGATCACACTGGACAGCGAGAGGAATATAGGCGTTTGGTCGACGGAAAATTTAGCGCGTCTGTAACACTAGGCTTTAAGCCTAGTAGACTACTAGGATTTAAGCCTAGTACTCAGTTCCAAAAAATGTTTGCTATTTGTTAGCACATTTTGATGTCCCATATATTTTTTTAGCGGCGAGTAGTGTGACCAAGAAGTGTGCACTGCACTCGAACAGCTGTTAGGTTTGGTTTAAAGTAAACAAAGTTAATGAAATGCACTTTTTCGGCTAGGGTCGCTCTTCCCCAGACATATCCTGGGCTTCCCGATATTTTATTGGCAAAGCAGCAGCAGATGAAAACCTCTCTCGTGCAACTGCCGGCGACCACCGTGAACTGGGAATAATTTCTTTTTACATGATTTACAAATAAATACGGGAAAATTGGGGGCGTTACTCGGGGTTGTGCAATTATGGTTCAGGTAGTGTTAGGTTTTATTGAATTTTCCTTTTAGCTAGGTCTACCGGGTGAATTCCTTTGAGTCGATGTCTGGTTCTGCTCCACGTGAGTCTTCTTACCAAAACGTTCGGGTGATGACTAAACTTCGTCAGATAGCGCTCTGCCTGCGCATTTATAATGTCGCTAACGGGGGCGACCCCAGTACCTCTATCGATGTCCCTGTTGCAGATATACCAGTCAGGTACAGTTGCCATACGGAGAACCTTGCTCTGGAACACCCAGATCCTATTCAGGTGGGATTTGGCTGCCGTACCGTACACCTGGACGCCACACATCCATACGGGCGCCAAGATAACCCTGTAGATAAGGATCTTGTTGGATAGACTTAGCTTGCTGTTGGGTTTTAGGAGCCAGTAGAGCTTTCGTTTCCAGGGCACCTCTAACCATCTTGATACGTCTGGCAAAGGTCAGACGAGTTTCTAGTGTGACTCCCAGGTATCTACACTCCTTCCTCTGCTCCAGCATCTCACCGTGTAGGAATAATTCGCGGCACGTTTCTCTTCGGAGCGTGTCTGTCCCCACCACGCACTTCTCCGGGTTCACCGGAGCTTTTCGGCATGTCATGAGTGAACAGGCTGTACAGAAATACGGCTGGCTCGAGTACACTGCCTTGGGCCACTCCTGCTCGTATACCTCTCTCAGAAGAGACTACTCTGCGCTACCCTGAATGTTCGGTTCAGGAAGTTGCCGATTAGCTGATAGACCTGAGGATTGATCATAGGACCGGCGCGCCATACCTTGTCGAAGGATATCCAGATACGCCAACACGTTGTACTGCTTCCTGTGGAACCCGTCCATAATAAGCTCCGTTACCCTGTGTAGCATGTCTCAGTCTGAACCCAAACGGGAGGATAACAAATATCGCTCCCTTTACAGCTGGGGTATTCATTAGCCTCCTCAGGATGCAGCGCTCCAGAGTTTTCTGAAGGTGGGAAGCAGACTAATATGCCTATAGTGGCCTACGTCTTCCGGAGGCTTATTCGACTTGGGCAGCATGACAATGCGGATGCCCTTCCAGGCTCTCGGGAAGTAACTCAACCTAAGCGCAGCGTTGAATATGAGCACAAGGAAAAGTATTGCTCTGTGGGGCTTTGCCACTCTGTTGTTGATTTCGTCGTACCCCGACCCACTGGGACCTCCGATTGGTGTTTCCATACGATTCGGTCGACAAAAAATTTAACTGATTTGAGTACTGGGTTTTAAATAATAAAGACAAATATAATCTAATTAAGGCAGCTATATGAAGGATAATTATATGGAAATTATAAAGGGGTGCCACAGAAATCACTTCCTCTGGAATTTCACCTCAATTCCATTCCTCTTCCATTCCATTCCCCTGTGCCACAAACCGATTTTTCAACGGAATCAAAATCGCGCACAATTTATCCATCGATTTAATTAAATAAACCCATAAAACAAACCTAAAACGATTCGAATCTTACTTTCCCATAAACTCTTAATTGTAATGCAGTAGTAGCAGTAGTTTGAGAAGACATTCACAAAAACCACGTACGTATCGTCTGAACGCGAAAACGAGTCCGATGCGCATTTGAGAAGCCTGCGCTGCAAGGTTTCTATTTTAATATGTTGCCTCCGTAGCTCTTCGCTGGCCAACAGTCTCGCTAAAAGAATTTTTATTAAGTTTAACATAAAATTCAGATATCTGTTTTTGTTGAACAGCTGATTGCTACCATGCACAGTACATTGTTTTGCTTTGAAATTATAAAAGTACAGCTTTGTAAAATCAAATATTTTATATCATACAAAAAAATAAATGAGAAGGAACGTGTGAGTCGCTTCTGGGGACGCGACTCTACTTATACCCGTACTCAGTCAGTATATACATTTTTGAGCTTATCATTTTTTAGAATTTTAAACATCATCCCTTCAAAACAAAACGAAAAACCGAAATTCAGTTCAACCGGCCAAAAATTGAAGAGCCCACACACAAGCACAGTATGTGTGAATACATGGCACACACACATTTACGTAACCTGGAAACGAAACTCAAAACAAACTCAAAACGCTTTCGGAAAATAAGAATTGATAAATATTTTGTCGTGCCTGTGTACCACACATACATTTGCAATTCTCGGCTTGGTTTCGCATCTCGTCATGAATCGAACATGTCAAAAAAATGCCGAATGTCTCAGGTCCGCTACCCGAACGTCACAGGTCCGCGACCCGAACGTCTCAGGTCCGCTACCTGAACGTCTCTAGTCCAACAGCCGAAGACCTAGGGACCTGGGACAGAAAACTCAGCTGCGACACGTTCGGTGTATAAACTGGCACATCTGTATACTGTATGGTTAGTGGCCAGACAGAATGGGCGAGCAAAGTGAATACACTGGCAAAAATTTTTCAGTTATTTTAATTATATTGGTTTGTCAAAGTCGACATTATCTTAGCTTATGGATATTCTTAACAAATCGGATAGGTTTATATCGGTTAGTCAATTTCTATATGCATTTTTTATGGCTTTTATATCGGAAAAAGCTGATTCGTAAACATAAGCACTGGCGAAACATGCCTCCAATTTAAGCATTGACGCTTTTAAAATGGGGTATTGTTCTGCCGACACTTGTTTCCAAAACTCCGTTCCGGACTCCTTAACAGACAGTAAATGGTAGTCAGATTGTAAATCGCACAGCTCCATTTGTAATTGTGCGTCTTGTTCTTCAATATTCATCGCTTTTGGGCTTACATATATTTTTATTAACTTTTTAATTTCGTCGAAATGTGTGAATCGCTGCTCAAACAGTTCTTTTAATTGTAGTATGTATTCTGAATATGATGAGAAACGTAATGTTGGATATTCCGTCATAAGTTCCTGACAGTGATGGAAATGACTTAAGCAATTTTGATTTAAATCACTTTGCAAAATACCCAATTTTCTCTTGAATCCATCAACTCTTGATAGCATCGTCACCATTGACTGTTTCGGTGTTTGAAGCTGTGAGTTTAAAATGTTCAGATACATCGTAATATCTGTTACAAATGCAACTTGAGAATGCAATTTTTTAAGTGCTTCTTGAGAAATATTAAAACTTCTTTTCTCAAAGAAAAAAAAACGCTCCAGGCATTTTCCCCTGCTGAGCCAACGAACCTCAGTAAACATTTTAAGGTCACCATACTGCGCTTTGAGCTCATGTAGCAGCTCATGATAGCTTCACGCATACTCCTTGCTCCGTCGGTGCACATGCCGCAAAGTTTTTTGAATCCACCGATTTCGTTGACCGATATTTCTATTGCACTGAATATGTCCGCGCCTGTTGTTGTACCATGTAAAGGTACTAAGTTTAAAACGTCCTCTTAAACATGAAAATCGCAGTCAATTAATTTTATAAATATCAGCACTTGCGCAACGTCATTAACGTCTACTGCCAACGAGTAGAAGATACATTTTCTTAATTTTTCCTTAAGATTTTCTTTTAACTGTTGGCTTGTTTGATTTATTGTTCGTGTCGCTGTTCGACGAGAAAGCGGTATTTGTTGCACAATTTGGCTCATTTCCACACCTTGCTTATCCAGGCAATTCAAAATATCTATGCAGACAGATTTAAAAAGCTCTCCGTACAATAAACACTTTTGAGCTTTGGCCAATTTGTAGCTTACAATAAAAGAAGCTCGTAGAGTGTCTTTGTTACTGACGGGCCCTGGCTCCGCTTTTATTATTCCTATGGAGAGTGATGCTTTTAACTTAGGAATAAGATCGAACCTTTCTTTTTCTTTCAACAAGCCATATGAGTTTTCGTGTTGTGAAATGTAGTGTCGTCGAATATTATAAGTCTTTTTTGCTATTACATTTTCACAAATTAGGCACTTCACAAATCTGGAATTATCTTCTGTTGTAAAAAAATATCGCCTCTCAAATTCGGAACGTTCTATTTCTTCAGTCATTTTTCCGTGC